CCACTCGGGTATAACCAGACCGTAGCTGAACGACTACTACTAAACTAACCGAGTAGATTGAAGCAAAGTGCCATCGTGTACATGCGCCGGCGCTACCCCCTCCCTTCCCACTCATACACACACATACACACTCATACACGCACATACACGCACATACACGCACATACACACACATACACTCATACACACTCATACACGCACATACACACAAATACACATACATACACACACATACACACTCATACACACACATACACGCACATACAAACACATACACACTCATACACGCACATACCCACTCATACACACTCATACACACTCATACACGCACATACACACTCATACACACTCATACACGCACATACACACGCACGGAAGCACGCACGCACGCACGCACGCACGGAAGCACGCATGCACAAACACACACATGGATGCCCCCACGCACATACACACGCACGCATGCATATACACACGCATGGATGCACCCACGCACATACACACGCACGCATGCACATACACACACATGGATGCCCCCACGCACAAACACACGCACGCATGCATATACACACGCATGGATGCACCCACGCACATACGCACGCACGCATGCACATACACACGCATGGATGCACCCACGCACACACACGCACGCATGCACATAAACACGCATGGATGCACCCACGCACATACACACGCACGCATGCACATACACACACATGGATGCACCCACGCACATACAAACGCACGCATGCACATACACACGCACGCATGCACATACACACACATGGACACATGGATGCACCCACGCACATACAAACGAACCCACGCACCCACACACGCACACACAAACGCACGCACGCACGCACGCACTCTCTCTCACACACACACACACACACACACACACACACACACGCACACACACTCACATACTCACATAATCACGCGTAAGCTTGAGCGTCCCCAGGTGGTCGTGGTCGTCAGCCATCTCTCAGCTCTCCACGATCCAGTGTCGGCTTGCGGCAGAAGGGACATTGCTTCTTCTGCAGTACTAGCAGCTCGTAGTCGTCTGTGTGGAACAGCTGTAAGGGGAGAGAAAAAGAGAAAGAGAGTGAGAGAGAGTGAGAGAGAGAGAGAGAGAGAGAGAGAGAGAGAGAGAGAG